CTGGTTGTGGTTGATTCTGACTTTGTGTTAGAGTATAATTCATTATGTGAAGTAAACAGTAACTAAAATCATGCTAATACTGTTTTTTGAAGGGAAATCAGGCCTCTTTGTTTGGGAACAATTTTCTGCCATAATCAGGAAGTCCTGTACACTGAATAAACTCTGTCTTAGATAGTTTGACTGACTTGGTGTAAGTTTTACTTCTCAGTCTAGAAAGTGCTGCTGGTCTTTTCTCCTTTTCATAGGAAGCAGCAATGATGGATTCCTGAGTTTGTGTATATGGTGCTATTTAACAGTTTCTGTTGCTGACTCTAATAGTTAACCAAATTTTGCAAATTATCTTGTTGACTGGCAACAGGATTAATTTTTTAGGCCAGAAGTGTAAAATCAGATCAAGTGTTGGGACATTCATATTTTCTTAAGAATGTCTTTGCACCAGTTGTTTAATAATTCAATCTCTTTATTTTTCATTTTGCTTATTTTTTAAAATTTTAATTTGCTTATTTTTTAAAAAGAACACACATTCTGGTGTATATGTATGCAAAGTGATCACATTAGTAATGATCAAAATTTATGTTTTCTGTATTTTAGAAGGCCTTAGTGGATTAGTAAGCATGATGTGCTTCTTCTCCTAGTTCTTGTCATTCATTTGCATAGCTCTATTTTTCTGCCCATATGGCTCGGTGTAGGTTTTGTGGACAGGAGCAGAGTAAAAAACATAGGGAAGAGATACAAATTTATGCAGTCTTGTTTTGATAGCAGAAGTAAAAAAAGTCTTCAATTATATGAGGTTCACGTGAGCAGTGATGAGTATTTTTTTCATTTTGTTGTTTTTTAAAATCTAGAGCACTGGAAAATGTGCATAATGCTGTAAGAACTTCAGGGTTTTGATAGTTGTGTCTCTAGATAAAAAGATACTCTGGTAAAAATTCTTATTTTCTTTGCACTTATAGATTGAAATCTCTCTGCATTTCATTCATAGCAGTCGTGAAGTTTATGCACAAAAGCTGCTGTAGTTCTTGCTTTGTGGCTACAATCAGTTGAAATTTCACTGATCTAGAAGGTGTGAGGCACAAGCCTGGGGAAACTGTGACCCTCCAGTTATTCCCACAGAATAATTGAAGTGGTTTGTGATAAATATCACCAGTAGTCACTTCACATTTGCTAGAGCACTCGGAGTTTCCTGGTCTGGAGACACATTGCACTTCTTGTGACAGACACAAAGTACTTACCTTTCTATTTAAAAGTGTGTTAGTGGCAGACTCTTGAAATTATCCTTAGGCTGATTTGCAAAAGCATATTCAGGTCTCCTGCCCCTTCTGCTCACTTACCCATAGGGATGCACTGGTCTTGAGCCTGAAGGACCCTTGAATATTCACCTGCTGTCTTGGACCTCTCTTCCCTCTATGGTAAATTCCTATCGAATTCTTCCAAGAAGGTCTGTGAAGATGCCAAAGTTAGCTCTCATAAAGTCCAGGGTTGTAATCTTTCTCATTGCCCTGCTCTTTCTACTTGTGGGATGCAGAACTCCATGATTCCATGGTCACTGTAGCCAGGGCTGCCCCAACCTTCATATCTCCAACCAGGCTTTCCTTGTCCATTTTACAAGGTCCAGCAGCACATCTTTCCTCTTTGGCTGCATCTGTATCAGAAATTTATTGTCAGTGCTTTCCAGGAATCTCTTGGATTGTGTGTTCCTGGCTGTCTTGTCCCTCCAGCAGTTGTCAAGGTGGTTCCCCATGAGAACCTGGGCTGCATGCCCTTCCTGGAAGTAGCCCTACTCGAGCTGCCTCAGTGGTCTCTATAACTCTCCCTTTGTCTTTCCTAGTTTGAAGCTTTCCTTACCAGGCCAGGCAATTCTGAAAAAAACTAAAATAACCCCCAAACTGATAACTGTAGTAGGTAAATTCATTGTCTCGAGCCCGCTATTACATTAATCGTGGTTGAATACATCCAGCCATTAACTCTTGTTCTTCTTTAAAAAGTCTTGAACTAGTAACATTTATGGACTTCAGGGGAAATGGCCACTCCATTTTTAGAGTAAAAACGAATGTGGATATGGGAATAGTGAAGTGAATGAATGGATGCATACTCTTAAATTTACTTGTGTCCATCCCAATGTCAGTTATTTCATGCGGTCGCCTTGCTGCTTCTGGAAATTATTCTGGAGAGCAGCTTATCTCACTGTCTCACATTGCTGGAGTACACAGGGCAGCTTGGCCACTTGCTATTCCACCTGGCTTTACACTGCAGCCCAGCACTAATCTTAACGCTTGTGCACGCTCCTCGTGCAGGGCCCAGCAGGGATGGCACCATCAGCGAGGACACCATCCGTGCGTCCCTCATCTCAGCGGTCAGTGACAAACTGAGGTGGCGCATGAAGGAGGAGATGGATCGCGCGCAGGCCGAGCTCAACGCCCTGAAACGCACAGAGGAGGACCTGAAGAAGGGGCACCAGAAACTGGAAGAGATGGTGACTCGCCTGGATCAGGAGGTGGTAAGTGAGAGGAGCCACTGCTCCCCACATGAGTATTCCTTGTAAGAAGCTTGTAATTCATTTATCATTAAGCACGATAGAAATAACGAAGCTTCCAGAGCATTGTGTTTCTTCTCTTTCACAGCGGGGGGGGGGGCTTGTGCTCAGACTGAAGCTAGTCAGAAATAGCAGTGACCATGAAATGCAGTGTCTTGCTCAGTAATAGAGGAACAGTTTTATTTTTCCCCATTCTTCCTGTGAAAGATGTTAGTGGTGCAAGATTATTTCATATTTGTGTCTGTTTCTTGATAATAACATGTAACAGCAGCACTGGAGAACATTTCAGTGTCTTAGTGCAGAGAACACTGATTTTGGTCACAGCCTCCTTGTATAACTTCTTTCCCAGAAGTCTTTCCTACTCACAGTATGCTCAGAAATTCCTGCAGTTTTTCATTCAGGCATCTTCCCCCTTGTCCATCTGCTCCTTGCACTGCTGCTCAGGAGTAAGATTTTGGGATTGATGAACAGTTTCTGAAACTAGCCCCGTATCCAGATATGGTTTAAAAAATTAATAGAAATTCTTAATTGGACTAGAGAGCTGGGGATACTGCATTCTAAAGAAAACAATGGCTTTGGCTTTGCTTTTACTATCTTTAGCTAGTTTAAATGGTTATTTTTCCTAATGTGGCAACTCAGAAATACTTGGGAATGTTGGCATGCCTTCTCTACAATTTTAAAAGGGTAATGGATTGACATTATCTAAAGCAGATGTTCCTTTTTAAAAGAATCTGAAAGCTACAGATTGGAAGCTCTTTCTTTTGTAAATTTCATAATAGACATAAGCAAAGAAGGTACAGAATGAAGTGGTATGTCTAAAAACCTTTCATCTAGACAATTGTGTCACGATAAATAAACATCTTAATTGTTTCTAGGCTGAAGTTGACAAGAACATTGAACTTCTCAAAAAGAAGGATGAGGAGCTCAGTTCTGCCTTAGAGAAAATGGAAAGTCAGTCAGAAAATAATGACATAGATGAAGTTATAATTCCTACAGCACCACTTTACAAGCAGATCCTGAACTTATATGCAGAGGAAAATGCAATTGAAGACACCATCTTCTACCTTGGGGAAGCATTGAGACGTGGAGTGATAGATTTAGATGTCTTTTTAAAGGTAGGTTTCTTGGGATGTTTTTAAGATGTGCCTTTTATGTATGTTTACTTTGGTAACGTTCATAATCTCTTCACAGAAGAGGATCCTGTAGGAACAGGAATATTTATACATTCAAGGAGAAGTTTTAGAAAGTAATTTCATAATTTAAAGACCAATTTTAAAAGCGTTATAGATACAAAGCCATGTTGTTTCCTTCTTATGTAGACTTTCCTCTGTTTATCTACTGTTAGAAGAACCATTCTCTGCCCTACAGGAAATGCATTAGCCTGATTTCACCTTATGGAGTGCATATTATTACTTTGATAAGAATATTTGTGGAGTTAATAATTAATAGTTATTATAATGTAATGAATTCATTAATAATTTAAAATCACAAAAATAGACTGTAGTGATTGCATTTGGTAGCCACCTGCCAGTCATTCTAAGCCAAGAAAATGTCATTCGGTAAAATAATGAATTTAGTGTTTCCAAAAAATTGACATCCCATTTGGGTCACAGCATGTGCCCTGCTTTAACATCTGTATTGCAGTATGAAGTTTTTATTAGAACTTTACCACTAGCCAGCTGTTGTTTTTCTTTCTGCAGCATGTACGTCTCCTGTCTCGCAAGCAGTTCCAGCTGAGAGCATTGATGCAGAAAGCAAGGAAGACTGCTGGACTCAGTGATCTCTACTAAATTCCCAGACTTTACCTGGGAAGTTAAGATTTCCTTGTGAAGCAGCTGTTCTCTTGATCTTTCTCTTAATCAGTAGGTGCCCAGAGTAAGTTATTACATCATCCAAGTGTAAGATATTTTGAATCAATAATATATTTTCTTTTTGGTAAAGACTAGCTTTTATTAATGCACTTTCTATCTCCTGTAATCTTTGTGCTGGTGGACTTAACGCTGAATAAAACTTGTTGCATATTTTCTTCCTCTACAGAACTGTGTATGACATGCTTTCTTTTCAAATGTGCAGTGTCAGCTTAACCATGTTTTCACTTTACTTTTGAGATTTGGAAGATGTTGTGCCAAATTGGAAAAATTTACGTTTATTGTGACCAGTGAAAACTGAAGACTCAGAAGGTTCTTGGTCTCAGCACCATAACCAGCATGGCTTAAGACTGAGCCTTGGCCTTAAGACTTTTCATGTTACTGCTGGCTCTGAAGAGATTGGAGTTAATTTTAAAAAACTGGGTGAGACTTCCATCACTACATAACTACCTGAAGCCTCCAGCACAACTGCACACATAACATTATTACACAGGTGTTTGAATTACTGTGGCTTGGAAAATAGAATTGATTTAGGTGGGTGGAAATAGAACTGCATGTGGGAGACACAGCCCTATTAAGAAAAACACAGGAGACAGAAATAACAGTTTGTGGTTTATTTGGTGTTGTAGTTGGTACTACAGTTGGACAGTCACTGTCTTGTTGCACATAGAAACTTTAACATTTTTTGAACATGCTCTGGAGACAGAACTTACAACTAGACTGATATAGTACACAAAAATAAGGTTCTCTAAAAAAATACCCACAAAAATTCCAAAGCAGTGTTAGGAAAATACACTTGGACCTATCAACAGTGAAATATTTAAGCTATTCAGCTGGCAGAGAAGGTTGGTCAATTGGCCTGGCAATCCTTTAACTTGAAGAAATGTCTTTGGTTTCACATTGTGAAGCAATTACTTACTCCTTATTCCTTTGAACCAACATGACACAAGATGAGGAAAAGGCAAAGGGCTTTTAGGCAGTGCTGCTTTGAATGCTGGATTTCTGTCATACCACTTCACTGAACAAGACTGACTAGGTTATCTAGCTCTGGCTAAGAACATGGGTGTCTGTGAACAGGGAAAACGCTAGATTAGTTTCCTAATGCTGTCTTCAGGAAACTCCATTGTTCAGATTTGAGCTTTTTGTGTGTTCTAGTTGAGATAATACATTGAAAGATTTGACTTACTTGGAAAGTGCAACGTAAGACAAACCACTAAACCCATAAAACTGCTAAGAGCCAAAACCTGCTTGGGCAGGTTTAAAACTGTAGCTCCTTCTGGATTGCCCACAGTGTGTCTGCACTCTTCCTTAATTTGTCCTCTTCCTCAGGTTTTAGGATCATCTTTACTACATCAGTGATGCCATTACTGCCCAGTACACAAGGAACACTTAGGAAGACGTCTTCTTTTATTCCATGCAAGCCCTGAAAAGTACATAAGGATTGTCAGGCTGGAATTTATGTATGTCTGTATATTTCATAGAATACCCTGTCAGCAAACCAAATTTAGTTGGAATTAAACTAGAAAGCGATCACTGTTTTTCAGAATTCCAGACACTTAATTCTCAGTAAGAATTTTAGGAAAAAGGGGCTGCTCACCTTAACAATGGTAGAGATGGGGTGCACTCTTCTCAAATTCTTCATAATACTTTCAGCTAGGTCTCCCACAGAAAGGCCAATAGCCCAGGACGTGTACCCCTTCAGTTTGATCACCTCATAGGCACTGCAGAGACACAGACACTCAGTAAAGAACAAGTACCATCAACTGAACTGCTTCAAGTTTGTAAGAAAGGCTTTTTAGGAGGTATACAGATCAATTTGGAGGTATCAGGAGCTTGACTGATTTTCTGGCAGGTCCGAAATGAACTCAGCAGTGAATAATTCTATTTGCATTTTACACTAGTCCCCACAATTATACTGGAAGCCTAGAAGTTTAAGCTCTTCCCTAATTTAAAGTTTACTAATCATGAAAACTTAACTGCCAAATCTGCACTACTCCTTAAAATAGTATTTCATGTTCCATTATGTCTGCATGCTGACATTTGGGGCTACTGAGGTATTCTAGATCTGGGTACTGCAGAACAGAGATTTTTCAGCTCTTCATGATTTGTTCTTGTGTTGAAAGGTATAAAAAAGCCAATCCAGTATTTACCTGTCCACGACCTGCTTATGGACCTCCTTCCAGTGTTCCTTGTCTGCGTCAGTTCCCAAGTCTGGATGAAGAGCCTTCAGAGAGACGCCAGCAACATTCACTCCACTCCAGACAGGCACTGAGGGTTGCACATAGATTAATTATCTCACAATACTCTGTCCTCCTCAAATTAACATAAAATCTAGCTGGATTCATCTGCAGCACATCACTTTTGATTTAGGTATGGCCTTAAATCTAATATGACCTATAAGGCCAATCTAAATTGCAGGCTGAGAGCCAAGAAGCACATCAACATTCATACAAGGTGTCACAAAGTTTGAGCACACCTTTGTTAATGTGAAATACCTGGGCAACATGAACTAAAATGACATTCACTGTATTTTTCAAAGTTTTCTCTAAGTAAGAACTGATTCCAAGTGGGTGCTGGTGGGTGTCAGAAGCAGACAGTACACTTCTCTGGTAAAGTGCTGCTTGGAAAAGTACAGGTTAAATTAGGAAAAAGTGCTTTCTCCTGTCCTCCAGACTTGCCTTTGCAATTCCTATTATACAGTGATCAAGAGAGGCCAGGAATGGCAGCTGAGTGACTGCCAGTAGCTCTGGTGCAGATCTTTTGAGAGGCCTTTGCAGAGAACTTTATCTTCTTGCTGCTTCAGTTTGGGGTTTTTTTGGGAGTTATGTGAACCATTTAGCCAGCTCAGGTTACACTAATGACTTTTTCCAAGCACAGTCATTCAGATCAAATATAGATCATTTAGGGTTACTCTGTGCAGCAAAAGACTTAAATCAGAACTTGCTCTTTAAGGTGCTGCAGTGCAAAGGTTTTGGAGCAATGTTTTGCTGTAGCTTTTCAAGGTTTTCCTGGCAGACAAAGCATCAGGGAGCTCTGTGTAACGATCAGATTTCACCCTTACCACTGGAATCTCCGTGCTCTCCAACGATCCAGCCATGGCAGCTCAGGGGGTGGATGCCCAGCCTTTCTCCCATGAGGTGGCGGAAACGGGCAGAGTCCAGATTGCAGCCACTACCAATAACACGGTGTTTGGGGAAGCCACTGATCTTCCAGGCCACATAGGTCAAAATATCCACTGTGAGGAGAACAGGGGCGTAACAAGTGCTACTCATGAGCTGACTGATAATGAGGATGGTACCTTCCAGTCATCTGTAAGCATTTTAGCTGCATGCTAGCTACATGGAACAGAGCACAGAGCAGTGACCACGGCCAGGCACTGCAGTGGGCTAACAGAACGATTATTTTATGTAACATAGTGACTGTTTTGAACAGTCCCTAATGCTGCCTTTATGCTATGCATGCAATTATCAGTGACCCTTAGTGTGCTCGAGATCACTCAGTCTGAAAACCCAAGTTTATTTCTCAGAAGACCAAACTGCTGAGCCTGGAGAGGGAAGATGACATTTTTTGCTATACATTCTATGATATCATCATAGAATGGTTTGGGTTAAAAGGGAATTTAAAGATAATTTCATTCCAACCCCCTGCCATGGGCAGGGATACCTCCTTCCACTAGACCAGGTTGCTGAAAGCTCCATCCATCCTGGCTGTGAACACTTCCAGGAATGGGGCATTCAGAACTTCCCTGGGGCACCTGCTCCAGTGTCTCACCACCTTCATGATAAAGAATTTCTTCCTTATAGCTAACCTAGATCTACCTCTTTCAGTTAAAGCAATTATTCTATGTCCTATCACTACATGCCCTTGTAAAAAATCCACCTCTCTTTTAGGCCCTTTAGGTACTGGAAGGTTCTCCAAGGTCTCCCTGGAGCTTTCTCTTCCCCAGCACAAGTATTTTCTAACAGCCTGTGCACTAATGCCGCCTTACTGAAGAAATACTATTCTCTAAGCCAAATCCCCTTATGGCAACACAAGACAAACCTGGGTTTGAGACAATAAGCAGCTTGCAGTCAGGACTGTATTTAACCACGTTGGGAATGATGAATTTGAAGATATTCACGTTGCGCTGGACCAAGTTAAGGCGGCTCTCTCCTTCTTGCTGCCGGGCACCAGCAGTGACAATGACCAGCTTGGAGTGTGCAGTCACACTGTAATCTGCAGACAAAAGGCTGTGTCAAGCATCACTTCATCCTACACATGGCTCAGTACAGGAGTTCTCACTTCCTCTCTGCACTAAGATCTCAAATTCTCGAGTTTGAAGGTGCAGCAATTCCCTGGTAACTGTTACCCTAGACTTTGCCCCTGTAGAAAACGGAATTTCATTTTAAGACTGTGGCTCATTGCCACAACATTGTGACAACATTGAAGCATGGCAATACTGTACCATGCAGCTGCAGGCAGTGATACTCTGCTTCTCAGCCACAAATGGGACTAGGGATAGCTGTTGGGATAGCGTTCAGGGTAAGTGCTGTGCAGAAGAGGAAGAAGGCTCTGCCCTCGTAACTTGTTACCTGTAGGAACTGTAATCAAGGTATGAGCTGGTTAAGCCTTTGCCCTACTCGAGGCTGCCACTAAAGGTTATCAGAAGTAAGCAGTAATGAGTTCAGGAGTTAACTGGTCGTGAAATAAAGTTCTCTAAGGTACACAAGTATTTAAGGAATTCATCTTTCTGTACTGAGTAGTGAACCGTGGAAGAAAATTCCTAGCTGGACTGGCCATATGAAGGTATATTTTTAAGTATCAGCTGAGTACTGTATCCATGAGCCTTCCCCACAACAATCAGGGTGACAGGCTAAGTGCTTGGCTGTCCAGTGTGGGACCTGAAGTGGCTATCTCCATTTGGAAATAATGAGCACATGAGAGCCAACTACTTGCCTTTGCCAGAGACAATCTTTGGAGTTTTAAGGAAGAGGCTGCCATGCTGGAGATCCAGCATCTCTCCTCTGAGCTTGTCCTCCACAACATCAACAAGGGCGAGTTCATCAGCCAAGTCCTACAAGAGACCAAGAGTAATGGTAAGGTTGCTGCCTCTTCCAGCAAAGCCCCCAGTTTTTAAACCATGAAGTTGCAATTATTTTAAAAGCTACTTAAACAATTTTGCTTATCCCTTATACTTCACTTTTTCCCAGAGTCCTCCAATTAGTTCTCTGGGATACCCACTTCCTTGAGTTCACTTTATAGTTTTCATAACCACATTCTGTGTGAAATAGTAGTACAATTAAGCAGGACAATAATGAAGAATAATTTAATAGCAGTTCATACACAACTTATTTGACAGTCAAGAAAAGCAAGCCTGATGTTAACCACAGTATTTTCAGTATGATAACTGAAGGCAGAAGACAAGTCATTCAGAGTGTCAAGGACCAATTTTTCCAGATCACATTGCAAAGAATTATTCCATTGCTCTGCTCAAGACAACAGAAATCCTCAGTTCTCAAGCTTTTTGTATATTTAGAGTGTTAGAAAATTCCTACTTAGAAAGGAGTCTGCAGGTCCCACAAAGATAAATGCAGTTCTTATGCAGTGCATAAAGGACATTCTGTCCTATCCTGAGGCAAACTTCATTTACAAGATCTGTAGCTATTTGTTCTCTGTTGATAACTTGAAGACTGTTCCTTCATTTCAGGCCCAGAAAAGATTTGTATAACCAGAAGTTCATCTAATAAGGGTGATTCTTTTTTTGCAGCTCTTTTAGGTCTCAGGTTCTGCTGCTTCCTCCCAGGCTTGACACTTACCTTCATGAGGATGCTGATGGCACAGGCCATTCCGACGGCACCCACGCCAACCACGCTAATCTTATTTTCAGCATGACTCTCCTGTTTGTGGAGAGTGTGGATGAGCTGATCCTTGAGAGACATGGTGCACTGCTGAAAGGAAAGCAACAGATTATTAGATTATTGCTCCAGGCTTTGGAGCTTTTACTGACACCAGAATATTTGTATCCAGCAAGACAGACTTTATTCCAGGATGATAAGAAAATGGATACAAAACACACGAATAAAACATCTGCGAATACTCTCTGTATGCCACAAAATGATTGCAAAACTGAATTATTGATTACAATCCTCTGTTCAAGCCCACCCTGGCTTTGCCTTAAATACAGCCTGAGAGCCATTGATTCTATTAAATAGCTGGTGGCACTCCAGCAGCAGCAGTAGAATGTTCTAAATGACCATCCATACTACATTTCGGTACAGGAAGCCATTTTAGTACTTCTAAGCACAGCACAGTCTGGCAATCTCTTCTCTCACCCTGAAAAACTGGTATTCTGTGCCCTGAAGCCTTTCCAGAGCTGAAGTTGTGCAACACTTAGGCAAGCCCTTTTTAAGCACAGCATGAGCCTCCAGTCAGCTTCATGAATTTGTTTTGAAGTGAAACTGCACAGTTTTGAATTAAGATGGCTGGAGTCTGGCATTACTGTCTCTTCCACCCTCGCATTTTAGCTGCCAGCTGCACAGCATCCTGGTGCGTTGGGTTCTGGCAGCCAAGGGTGTGCCGAAATGGCACGGTGATGCCAGAGGATTGTGCATTTATCCCCGTCTCCGTGTGGAAGGCAGCACAACGCTTTCCCAGGAAATGGTGCTGTACTGGGAGCAGCCTGAAGAGCCCAGGGCAGGAGCAGCTGCACAGACGGATGCAAGCACAGACACCACACGAGTCTAGAGCTGAGCAAGCAGCAACTCGTTCAGAGCATGAGAAGCCAAGCAGAGCAGCAGGTAAGGACTCTAAGTTTTGGGGCTGAGGGGAGGGGCAGGAAGCCAGCAGCGCCCATATTTAGGAAAAATCAACCGAGCTACGTCAGTCTTCATGAGCCGAAGCCTCCTGAAGCGTGGCCATAGCGCGCAGCGCACTCTCCACGTGCCAAGTCCTCCCTTTGCACTATGAGCACTTTGATATGCAAAGCTGGTAAGAACCACCCACTCAAGCACGTCTGTTACACTTAAAAACCAAAGAAAAAATTTCCTTTTAAGAGAAAATCAAAGAAACAAGTTAGGAGAGCGGTAGATGGTCCACTAATGCTGTATTTGAAACGCAGACCTAAGCCCATCCTCAGTCTCTACGCAGGATCACTCCCTGGGGTCACACGCACGGATTAAGGGAAGCAAGTTAATCCACGGAGGCTCAAGGGGATGGAGGGAGGGGACGATGGGGTCTGTGAGTGGAAATCACGCCGGCTGGACTCAAGGCCAGGGCTGTGCCCGATACCACCACGGCTCGGGGTACTCGGCGGAGCAGGCGGCGATAAATGGATGAGACAAAGTCCGCTGGACGCCGCCTGCTCCACCGCGTCCCCCGGAGGTTTGCGGGGCCAGCACTGCCTGCAATGCCCCTTTTTGCATTCTCTCTTCGGGTACCCCCGGCCCCATTCCATCCCGGCCGGGCGGTGGCAC